GGAGACTGTGGGGGTTATACTCCACGCAGAACTCGAGGATGGGGGCCTCTCTCCCTCCGTCGAGGCCGTGCGGGATTTTCGGGATACTCCAGGCCTCAAAAACGAGCGCGGGTCCGTACACTTCGTGGGAGATCCGCAGACCCTGGATTGGAGGAAGGTGGGTTCCGCGCGCCCGAACATGCGCCGCGAGGTGCTGCACGATGGGGAGGCAATTGGAGGCGCGCTGGCGAGTTGGGAGGTGGTTGAGCGCGAGCCGCGCAGACGGTGGGATGCGCAGTCTCTGTGCCAGGCCAAGGGACGTCTGCGCGTTTCCATCGAGCGCTACGCTGGACATGTACGGCATGTTGAGTTGGAACTGTTGTACGTTCGGGGAGGACACGCAGGGAGGAAGGCATTTGATAAGTGTGAGGGTCTGCAGATGCGGCATGTATCGCAGCGAGAGCGTGATGTTGTCAAAGGAGGTCGTCCTAGACTGGGGAGCTACGCGCGCTGCGTAGGTGTCATCCGGACTCATGATTTCTAGGTGCGTCAACGAATTTTGGAGGACGCTAGCCCACATGAAATGGTATCCCCGAAGGCTCAGGTGTTGTAGACGGGGAAACCGAGAGTGTGTAATCATGCAAGAAGGGATCATAGCGTGGCGAGCCCCTGCTGGCGTAGGCCTGTGGCCCTTGGGCGGCTCATGCAAGAGAACGAGTTTCTCCAACAGCGTCCATGTTCGGCCGTGTATTACAGTTGGAAGTTGACCGACAAGAGCATCGTCGCTCGATAGACCGACGGTCCGAAAATGCTGCGAGCGCGCAGTAAACAACGACGAAATAGCTTGCCTCTCGTCGGCGTCCTCTACGACCGTGTCCAAGCCGAGCGGGACGGCTTTGGCCCGCTGCAGCATCAATGTTATCCAATACTTTCCAAGGTTGACCGTCAGGTCGTTCCAAAGCCTTGGCTCGGATATGGCGGCGCTTCTCCACATGCGACACACGTGTGAGACCTTGACCCAGCCTAGACATTCTGTCGTCGCAGAAACCCAGCGACTCCCTTCTTCTTCCATACCCAAGGGTTCGTTGGCAGAGCAGAACATGAAGATGGTCCCAAGGACCTCCATAGGGAGCTTGTAGACGGGTGGAGTCCAAGCTACTCTTCTGCCTACATAGCCTCCGTAAGAACTTGATCCTCGCAGGGCTTGTTGTATGGGTGCGTAGGCGGGGGGATAACGGGACATGGATGAGATATTGCAGCTTTCTGCTTGTAAGCAAATCTGAGGGACGTTGGGGGATAAGTTGCTCAGAGACCTGCGGACGAGAAGGTGCACTTATATCCCTATGAGGGGCAGACGGTGCCACAAATACCAGCATCATTGCACCCGTGGCTTGACTGCTGATTGGGGAAGAATACGGCCTCAGCCACGTTGACATAAGAGACGCAGCCTGAGCTCAACATCAACCGACCGCAGCAGCAAGAGGCAGTGCTCTGCGATCTTGCCTGTGATTATTCCTCCAAGGCGTCCGAGCACCAGGAGGCCTGCGAAGAAGGCCATAACAGATAGAAGCACATAGCCGTAGCAGGGACACGCACATCGAAAACGACCAGCTGAAGGCCGTGGTAACAGGATACAAGAGACACATTCTACCACAATGTGAGGTTCCGTCGTTATGGGCCCAAAGCTGCTGCACCCTGTCGCTGGATGGAATGACTGGACAAGAGCTCGGTGCGGCCAACTATGGTCAGTGCGCGTCGATGCGCTGAGTTTGGATTCCGGCCCGGGGGCAATGGCAGTTGTAATTGCGGCAGCGCACCGCGCTGCGAGCAGGCACAAGTACAAGAGCGCGTCGGAGGGCCCAAGGACAATATATACAACCTCCGGACTTGAAGAGGCCTCGAGGGCTGTGCAGTTACCGACTGGTTCTTGTCGAGCATATCAAACAGACAACAGCAAACGTCAACTTTAAGCACAGATTCGAATATGCATTCATCAAGGAACAAGAACGCTATGTAAAACGAATCAAAGTGTGCATTGTCCAGGGTGAGAAACATTGTCCGCATTCGACAAGGTTGCCAACATCCATGCATCTCTAATCAATGATGAACTCATTGGACGCATCGCTGGAGTCGCCGATCGCTAGTAACCATGGGATGTCAGACGATCTGTGCAGCGGTGCTGGGCCCATGCACTCACCAATGAAGTACCTGGATCCGGCGGGGACGTCAGGCACGGTGATCTCTTGGGTACCGGCGGAGAGGGAGACGCCAGTCGCGAGCGGGTGATCTACAACGGCAGCGCCGCCAGCAGGTCAGAAAACGAGCAGCGCCACGTGTTGCACAGAGTTAAACCCTTACCAGTGTCGAGGTGCTCCGAGTCGCTGCCAATGGCGAAGTGGCCGAGCAGGATTTCCGTGGGGTTGGGGTCCGCGCCCGCTCCGGTGGTGTCCCAGGTGACATTCTGCTTCGTGCCCACGACCCAGACGGTGCCCGTGGTGGGCTGCAGGATCTTCGGCCTGACCACGGCCCTAGCCGTGTTCACGGAGGCGGAGGTAGCAGAGCCCAGGGCAGCCATGGTGACAGCGATGAGGAGAGCAGCGAAAGACTTCATGGTGGTGAATGAGAGCTGTGTGAGTGCGGGTCCTACAACTGAAGGGTGGAGGATGAGTTTGTGGTGCTGCAGACTGGGCCCTTTTATATGCAGGACGGCTCTTGCTGTTCGCCGAGCTGCTAAGCGTCGGCGAGCACTCGACCACCGGTCTGGCACGCGGCTACAGGTGCCGCACGCACTCTCCCGACGTCAACTATGCAAGACGGTGCCCTTACGGTAGTTGCATCTCGTCAGGCGAGACGCCTGGTCGCGACTGAGAGCGGACCTTCATTAAGCCTGGACTCACAAGCGGCATGGAGACGCTGCTGGCTGCTGTTGATCGTCGGTAGAGAATGCAGTGAGAACGTGACATGCTCTGGCTCCTACGGCAGTAGTCCGGACTTGAATGCCGCCCCCACAGTGCAGTCCATTGCGCGCCGGAAGCTCCAAGTGTCAGCATCTTTAGGGTAACCGGTAACCGGTGATCGCGGGGGTTGGCTGACGCAGGGACGGCCTCTATAACAGGGACTTGCTGCCGAGAATTAGCGAGGACCGTAGACTCGAGCATCAGGATGGCGTCCATTAATCAGCTGACGAGCAGCGGGAAACCCTGACCGAGCGGAATTCAGAAGTAGCGTCCCTGCACTAATGTGTCGAGCAGAGATGAGGTGCTGACCAGGGCCCCCAAGCACGCACAGAAGGCGAGGAACGTTGGCCGATTTTAGATATGACGCACAAGCAAGATGCACTGCGCAGGTCGGACTGCAGACTTCTCATTTCACGCGGTGCGGCACCCAATTTCACCGCTCGCCCTGTCTTCACGCAATCAGTCGGCGGAGGACAGCTACGGCGCACTTATGCGAAGAGTCGACGTACCGCGGCAGAATCATACGTGCACGGCATCCTGTACGCCGTGTGCAGGAATAACATACTAGCACCATCCAGCTATGCGAGCTCGCGATCACCCGCTTCACCCGTCGAAAGAGAACCTGTGAATGAATACATAGTCGCTGATTATACAGAAATACGATACATGAGCATGGGTATACCGCAGACGGTCTTCCATCACGGCCGTTTTGAGACGCCACGGGGTATACCCGTCCCGCGCGCCGTGGACGCAGACGCAGACGACGAGGGTCGCGCGACCCTCGACGAGGGCCCGCTGTCCATCCTCGCATGCCCGCCCGCCGCCGACGCAGAACCTGCCGAACAGCGCGCGTCAGCAAAAGCAGCGCCACGACCAGCAGCAAGCCTGCGCACCCGCCCTCGAGAGACCGCCCCGCGCCGCCGCGCGCATCGACGCGCGCGTCCCGCGCACGCCCCGCACGCCGCTCGTGCTGCGCGCCACGCTGCGGTCCTTCTTCCCGCGCTCGGTGCGCTCCGCCTCCTCGCGCACCGCGCATGCCTGCGCCTCGCGCTCGCGCTGCTCCTGCTCGCGCTGCGCCGCAAGCAGGCGCTCCTCCTCTTCACGGCGGCGCTGCTCCTCGCGCGCGCGTTCCTCCTCCTCAAGCAGGGCCTCGTCCTAGCGGCGCGCGCATCAGCTGGCAGCCACAGCAGAGGGGGGAGGACAGGGGAGGGACGGCGCACCGCCTCGGCGCCTTGCCAGCGCTCGTCGAAGATGAGCCGCGCGACCTGCTCCGACTTGGCCAAGATGGCAATGTACTTGTTCAGCAGCGCGTCGGTGTGCCCGAGCTGCGCCGCGACGCGCTGCCCCCGCGAGCCGACCGACCGCGCGTGAGCACAGCCCCAGACGAGCGGACGCGCGGGGCGCGGCACGCACCTCGGTCCCGGCCTGCGTCTCGCGCAGCGCGTCGGCGTACACCGCGAACGCACCGTTCAGCTGGCGCAGCACGAACAGGTCGTTCTGCAGTTTCTCCTCGCGCGACTGCGCGGCGAGGCGCGGCGCGTCTGCGTCAACGTGCACCGTCACGTCTCCATCGCTCTCCTCGCCCTCCGTCTCGGCGTCCGCGGCCTCCATCTCCTCGTTCTCCTCGCCGAGTGCGCCGAGAGCGCTCTGCTCTTGCTCGTCGATACTGTCGTCCGCCGGCGCGCCGAATCCGAGGGTCTGCGCTATCGACTGGCGCGCGCCCTGTGCCTGCTTCCGTTTCAGCGGGGCAGTGGGGCGAGTTGTGCGCCGGGGGGCGACGGAGAGGTCGGAGAGGGAGAGGTCGTCGCCACGGGGGCCAGTGCGGGAGGCGGAACTGGCGGAGGAGAGGGAGAACTGCGGGGATTCGGAGAGGAGGCGCGAGCCGCTTGGCGGGAAGGCTGTCGAGTCTAGCGAGTCCATCGAAGGCGCGCCGGTGCCAGTGGACACTTGGTGGACACAGTAATCGGAGAGATGAGCTGGTCGCGATCGACGGGTTCACAGCGGCCACGTGACCGGCACGTGGCCCCCAATCGGAGCTGAGCTGAATGGGCGGCGTCTCGCGCCGGTGCTATAGTGTAGTGGTTATCACAGTGGATTCTGACCAGAGACTCTCGCTAACCCAGGTTCGATTCCTGGTAGTACCTACGTCTTTTTACACCCTGGCACTAACACTTCTCGAGAAGTGCGCAATTAATGAGAATGAAGAGCAATGTCCGGCGCCGCGCGCCAGGTTCAATGTCCTTAATCTCACTGCCATCTGCGTGCGCCCGGCCGCGCCCTGGGCTTGCACAGGCTGCCTCTTCTGGCTCCGCCTGGTGTGCAGCGTCAGGCGTATGCGGGCTGTATGAGGCTGTGTGCACCAGTACAAGAAAGCATACATGCAGAGAAAACCTGAGTAAAAAAACAAATGCAAGACAAAACAGTGGGCGAGCGCGGCGGAAATAGTAGATGGAGGCGCGCGTTGTTGTCGCTCCACCGCAGGACCGGGACCGGCTGCCCTGGGCAAGCGGACGAACACTGCGTCGCAGGGCGTTCCTCTTGCGGCATACGCGGAGCCCAGAAGTCGCCGGAAGCCAGCAACATCCCGGAACCCCCTCGACGCGACCCACGAGCTGGGGCGTCGGCGCCGTCACGACGTCTTCTTGCGCTTGTGCTGCTTCGCCCCCGCCTTGCCCTCCGCCTTGGCCGCCCTGTCCTTGTCCTCCTTGCGCTTGCGCTTCCTCTCCTCCTTCTCGCGTTTCTTCGCGGCCTTGGCCTGCGCCTCCTTTTCTTCGCGCGCCTTGCGTGCCGCCTCGTCGCCCATCCGCCCGAGCTCCGCAAACGCGTCTGGTTCTTCTTCTTCATCACTCGCGGCGGGCTCGATCGCGTCTGCCGCGAGTAGTGGTGGCGGCTGTGGCTGCGGACTGTGTGCGCGGGTGGGCTTGGATTGGGGTACGTGGTCGGGCGATAAGGGGTCCGGCTGGATAGAGCCGACCAGCGAGAGCATCTGGTTCGCCACTGTCAGCCTGAGGGAAACATGAGTGATGCGTACAAGTGTGCGCAGACAGAGGCGGGCGGCGCACCCGACTACCGTGAACTGCAGTCGCCGGTCTTTCCCGCCGAGATGGTCACCGGTGACCTTGTGCACCCAGCGCCCGCGCTGGTCGGGCAGCACGTCGTCGCCCTGCGCCTCGGCATCTTCCTCCGCGCCGCCAAACTCGGGGTCGTTCTCCGCGGGGCCGTACTCGAACGCCCACTCGTCCGTGGGGATGTGGTGCCGCGGGATGGAGACGTTGAACGTGCGGTGCACGAGCAGCGACACGTGGTCCGGCGAGCAGAGCGTCACCCGCCCCGCTGCGAATCGAACCGGGTCAGGCGTCCCGCCCAGCGCGCACAGGGGGGCAGGGGCGCGGACGCACCGAGCTGCATCCCGCGCAGCGGGCTCCACACGAGCGCCTCGAAGCCGACCTTGCACACCGCGAACGGGCTGTCGCCCTGCAGCCGCGCGACCGAGTCGAGGAAGTGGATGTCCGCGTGCGCGAGCACGACGCCGTCCAACGCGGGCTCGTACCTGCGGCCGGGGGGCGGGTCAGCGCGCGGGGACGCGGAGGAGAGCACGCAGCAGCAGCGGCAGGCGCACCGCATGATCATCGCGTCGAGCATCTCCTCGACGCCGTCGCGCAGGCGGCCCGCAAAGACGGGCGGCACGGCGAGCACGACGGATGCCTTGATGGCGCGGAACTCGCCGTCGGCCTTTTCCTTGCCCTTGCGGGGCTTTTTGGGCGGCGCACCATCGACGTCCATCGACGCTGGCGGGCCCTTGCGTTTTGCTTTTTTGGTGGACGGGGGCGGCATGGCCATGGGCGGTGTTGTGGGCTGGACGTGGTGCGCGACGGCGGCGGCGGGGATCGTGGGTCCGGGCCGGCGGGAAAATTTTGGGATGCGCGCCGGAGGGTTCGGTGCGACACGCCGGCAGGTGCCGCTCAGCTCGCTTACGCGCTTGCTCCCAGTCCGTCACTACTAGCTCGCCACGGTCATAGACGACGACCGGCATGGTATGTGCTCCCCTGCACGGGCGGCGTCGCTGCTAGTGGCTGACATGCGATATTTCATTGCAGTCGGCCCCGAAAATCATCATCCAGATCCTCATTACTGGGACGCAAATCTTCGGCAAGGCGCTGCTGGAGGCTGGGCGGCAGGCTGCCAAAAGTTCGTCCCTGTGATACTCTACAGCAGCGGTGTGCTTACGGACGGAACGTGTGCAGATGCCAAGCACCGCCCACAGGGTGCAACCGGCGGGGACATTGCGGGCGTCGGGAACGCGACGACTGGCTCGTTGACGGACAAGCTGACGCGCGAACACCGAATGACAATCGACGAGGCGCATCTTATCCTGAACACGAAGCGCGAAGACGCGCTGGAGCGTGTTCTGCAGGTGCGCCCTGTGGCGGCCACGTAGCGGCTGGGTCTTATCTCTGACTGACGCAATGCGTCAGAACTATGAGCACCTGTTCAAGGCGAATGCGCCGCCGGAAGCACCGCCGAAGCCTGCAGCAGGCTCACGGGGTGCACCGGCGCCCCGACAGTCGCACTACCTGCAGTCGAAGGTGGTGCGGGCGCGTGAGCGGATCGAAGCAGAGCTGAAGGTAGCGGCGGAAGAGCCGCCAAGTCCGCCTACGCCTCCACCTCCGCCGCCGCCTCCGGCTGCGTCTGGGCCTACAGAAGGAGCGAGCTGAGGCAGCGGGATGGCGACGGACTGGATACACTAGTAGACGAGTAGATGTAATATGGGCTAATTTGCTGTGGACATATATCATCCCCATTCATGCAATTGAAGGCGACGGCGCGGGCGGGCACGGAAGCTTGGCGTGGGAAAGGGCGGGTGTCGGAGCCGGGGCACGTGTGGCTTGGCTGTGGCTGGGGCGTCGCTCGTCGTTTGTCCGTCGAGCTCATCGCTCTCCTCGACCGGGGCAACTCTCCGCGTATTTCTTTACCACAATTCCTCGCAGAGGGGACGACGCTCTCCTGCGGACGTCCCCCGCAACAACGTCCCCCTTGGATCCGACAGATCAGGCGGTCCTGCCTCGAGGCCTTGCCGCCTCACCAACATCTCACCCTCTCCTCAAATTTATTCTCTCTTTCGCTTTTGGCACCTTCGGTCTCATGGTCGCGTCTGCCCCCTTCCCCCAATGGTCCCAAGCTATCCTTCACGCAAGACTTGAGTTTAGGTCCATGTTCATCGCTGCTCTCTTCCTCTTCCTCTTTCTTTGCCTCGGTAAGTCCACTCCCCTCTAGCCCGACGGCCCAGTCCCTTTCCTTTTCCGTCTCCTCCCTCCCTCGTCTCCATCTCCATCGTCCACCTCCCGCACCCTCCCAAATGCCTCATGTCCTCCCTCTACGTCCTCACTCACCGTCTCCACCTTTTTCTAGCCTACCTCTCAAACCCATCAGAAACCTCCTTTCGCTCTTATCTCACAGAGCAGTCCTTCCGCCACCACCTCTCTCGTCTCGACGATCCCGCCGATGCTGATCACTCGGACTCGGAGGACTCGGGCGTTCGCTACCACTCCTCCTCCCGCCAATCCGTCTCCAGCTTCGGTTCTCTAGAATCCGGCTCATCCGCCTTCCACTTTTCAAATCGCGCTGCCATCGCCCTTCGCACCCCGCGACATGCTTTCCATAGCTTTGGCTTTTTCACCATCGCCGCCGTCATCCCTACCCACAAGCCACACTCGTCGTCGTCTCGCAACGGCGCCTCTTCCTCCGTCATTTCATCACGCAACGCAAATGGGCCATCAGAGCTCGACCTGTGCTCGTCGCCAAAGGAGGCCTGGTTTGTTGGTGCTTTCGGCAGATGGTGGCGGGGCGGCCTCGTCGACCCCACCTGGCCACCCCGGCACGGTCCCCACGCCAAATGCGATGAGGAGGGCTGGAGCTCTGGTATTCTCAACGTCAAGGCCCTCGACAAGCTCGAGGATTACAACGGTAAGTGATCCGCGTGATAAGATAGAAGATCGCATCCTCATCTCACTTCATTGCGCTTCGGATGCGCCACCAGGTCTTCCCTTTCCGACCACGACGCACAACCCTCGCACACCCCAGCGTCCGGCGCCTCCAAAGTTGCGTTCTCGTGATCGATCAGCGTCCCATCCGCACCGTAGCACGACTCCACCTCCGCTTCCAAAGTCCGCCGTCTTGCCTCTGCACACCCCCAAGCACGGCCAATCGCTCGCCGTGCCCCAACAATCTTCCCCGGCTCATCAGAGATCGACTCTTCCCCACCACCCTCCCGCCTCGTCACCTTGTAATGGCGCTGCCACCGTGCCATCTGCCAATTATGACACCGCACCTGCTGTTGCCGAGCTCACCCGGCAAATTAATCAAACTCGTGCTCTCAATCTCGAGTTGCGCAATCAATTGTCCGAGCACACCAGCACTGCCACCGTAACAGATGCCGCCCTCACCGCGGAGTTGAACACTGCTCGCGAGGCGAAACGCATCGACGATGCCGGTCGCACCGAACTCAAGGCGCGCACAAAGACCCTTGAGGACAGTAAACGTGCTGCTGAGGCTGGCAAGCGCGACGCCGAGCGGCGCCTGCGCACGGCCCGGGGCGCCAAGGCCGAGGCAGGCGCACGCATCGAGAAGCTCGGAGCGGAGATACGTGCGCTCGAGGCCCAGGTGCAAGAAGACGAGGCGGCAGTCCTTGCGGCAGGCGAAGCGGCGGAGTTGGAGGAGCAGGAGATTCGGGCCCAGGTCAAGCGTTGCAAGCGCGAGGTCCGTGTAGCAGAGGAGGTGGTGACCGCGCTCAACGTGCGCGTCCGCGAGCTCGAACAGTCTTTCGAGCACGAACGTTTGGCGCTGGTGGCAGCGCGGGAAAAGGCCGAGGCGCTGCGGCGCGAACATCAGCAGCACCACAAGCACGGCTTCATCCTCAAGAAGCCACCCCACGATGCCTGGGAACCCATTCCCATCACCGAGCCCGCGCTGGCCGCTGCCGCCGGCCTCGACCTCTTGTCGGACCCGTTCCCTACCCCCTTGGAAAAAGATTCGGATCGGGACCGCGAGCGGAACAGCTCCGGGACCGCGTCCACGCGCAGCTCGCCGCACTTCCGCACGCTCAGCCTCGCCCCCGCGTCGTGCATCATCGGGTACAACGCACCCG